AACGTGTCGGAGTTCAGACAGCGTTTCGACTCAGACCTAACGGCTGGCGAGGGGCCCAAGAGACTCCGCAACCTCTACTTCCTCTACCTGATAGAGCTACGAGCACTGACCAAAGCCCTGCCGTTCTTCAAGCAGCCGGCCCTCCAGCTGTACACCGGCAGACCCGAGGAGGACCGGAAACACAAAGAGCTGCTGCTGGAGGTCCTGCAGCTGGCCAGGTCAGTCTGTCACCAGAACAGAGTGGACACTAGCTCTGGATTTAATATTTAATCCCGTTTTTGTTTCAGTTCATTAGATACTGTTGTCCATCCAAAAGTCACTGAGTGCATTGACACTAGTACAGTGCATCAGAAAGTGTTCACAGAGCTTAACCTTTTCCACATTTTGTTGGTCTTATTCCAAAATTCATTGTCCTCAAAACTCTACAAACAATACTCCATAATGACAACGTGAAAAGTTTTTGAAAGCTTTGCAAATTTATTAAAAAAAAAAAAAATCACATGTACATGAGTATTCACAGCCTTTGTTCAATACTTTGTTGAAGCACCTTTAGCACCAGTTACAGCCTCAAGTCTTTTTGAGGGGAGACGACAGTGCGTAGAGCAGTCGTCTCCCAACCAGAAGGTTGAAGATTCGAATCTCGGTGCCTCCAGTCCACATGTCGAAGTGTCCTTGGGCAAGACACTGAATTGATCCTGACTAGTCTCCCAGTTCTTGCCGCTGAAAAACATCCCCAGAGTGTGATGCTGCCACCACCATGCTTCACTGTATTTGCCAGGTGGTGAGCGGTGCCTGGTTTCCTCCAGACATGACGCTTGGCATTCAGGCCAGAGAGTTCAATCTTTGTTTTATCAGACCAGAGAGTTTTGTTTCTCATGGTCTGACAGTCCTTCAGGTGCCTTTTGGCAAACTCCAGATGGGCTGCCATGTGCCTGTTACTGAGGGTTGGTTTCCGTCTGGCCACTCTACCATACAGGCCTGATTGGTGGAGTGCTGCAGAGATGGTTGTTCTCCTCTCCACTGAGAAATGGTGGAGCTCTTTCAGTGACCATCAGGTTCTTGGTCACCTCCTTGACTAAGGCCCTTCTCTCTCAATCGCTCCGTTTGGCCGGGTGGCCCGCTCTAGGAAGAGTCCTGGTGGTTCCAAACGTCTTCCATTTACAGATGATGGAGGCCACTGTGCTCACTGGGACCTTCAATGCTGCAGAAACTTTTCTGTACCCTTCCCCAGATCTGTGCCTTGATACAATCCTGTCTCAGGGATCTACAGACAATTCCTTGGGCTTCATGACTTGGTTTGTGCTCTGACATGCACTGTTACCTGTTTGGACATCAAGACTTGGTTTGTGCTCTGACATGCACTGTTACAGTCTTATGCAAAAGTTTAGGCACCCCTTGATAAATAACAGATTTTGGTGATTTTTTATTTGAACAGATGTTAACACAGTTTCTCTTGGAAATGGAAAAAATGCACAATATTTTCTGTACATGCGAGTGTGTTTTTTTTTTTTTTTTAATAAACTTTTTTCACATTGTCATTATGGAGTATTGTTTGTAGAATTTTGAGGACCTAACCTAACAAAATGTTAGCTGTCAATACTTTCTGGATGCACTGTATCTTGGTGATGTGCATGTAAACATCTCAGGTTTTGATAAACCTGGATAAGATTATGTATGTCATGATCATGTATAAGGGAGGTAACCAGGTTTTTCATGTTCCACATACGATTAAAACCAGGATCCTAATGTACAATGAAACGTACTCTTTCTTGTAATGGCATTTTCCTAGGAACACTGTATACAGCATATATACAGTCTTATGCAAAAGTTTAGGCACCCCTTGATAAATAACAGATTTTGGTGATTTTTTATTTGAACAGATGTTAACACAGTTTCTCTTGGAAATGGAAAAAATGCACAATATTTTCAGCAAACAGTGATGCATAGTTACTTCTTATGCCATAAATTGAACAAAAATAAAAAATAAAAACATTATTATGGCATGGTGCAAAAGTTTGGGCACCCTAAGAGTTCCAGAGTCTCAAAGTCTCTCACAAGGTTTCAGACCTTAATCAGCTCATTAGATCTGATGCACAGCAACAGCTGTCATTGGTAAATGCCAATTTCAAAGCTGTACAAATACCTTGACTCTTCAAACCTTGTGCACACACTTGCATGTTAATAAATGATCATGTTTTTAAAATGATCTTTTATCGGATGGAACAAAAAGATGCATTTGAACATTTTATTCATTATTAGTTTTACAAGCAGTGAGTACACTATATATCTGTATTTACTTTCTGCACTTCATTAGCTATAGTTTTCTGTCATGTGCTTAATGTAAAGATGATGGTGGTGGGGGTACATTTTCTCCAAACTACATTACATTATTTTATTTCTCCTTGGTGGCATTTATTGTACCATTGTCATATCTGCTGGCAGTTGGTTGTGACTTTCCTCTGCCGCTTCACTCTTCTAGGTCATTCCCTTTGCACTTTGATGAGACATCTCTGTTTGCTGGGGATGAAAAGGAGGCAGCCAAACTGAAGGTCAGCCACTATTTTAAAACTCTATTGAACCTGTAACTGTGCAAATAAGGTAATGGACAGATTCATGAGTTCTTGTTAAAAGGGAATAAATTCAGCAAGGATCATTCCCAGGTTTTATGACATGGACAACAGGCCTTTGTGGACAAGACTAGCTCATGTAATTAAAAATAATTTTCATGTATGTGGTATACTTTTTCACTAAACAGGAGAGAATAATGATAATGTATTTATCACTTTTAAGTAAGTAGGTCACACTAATGAAAATTGAGTCATTATCTACCTACTTTGCCATCAAAGTGACATGGGTGTGTTTTCCTCTGCTGTGCTGACACCAGGAGGACATCAGACTGGCCTTCCTCAACATCTCCAGGATCATGGACTGCGTGGGCTGCTTCAAATGCCGACTATGGGGGAAACTGCAGGCAAGTCAGGAGGCCCCAGAAACATTTCACTCCAGTTATGAATGATTTTCAGTGTTGAACTAATATAACCTTTGGGTAAAACTGAAATGGTGCTTTTAAGTGCAGTCAGCTAAGCTGTGTATTCCACAGCTACATTGTGATTTGCTCTTTGTTTTGATCCCTGTCCCTCTCTTGTCAGACTCAGGGATTAGGCACAGCGCTAAAGATTTTGTTCTCAGAGCGACAGATTGAAGCTATACCCACGTCTAGTGACCAACGGCCCAGTTTCCAGCTCAGCCGGCAGGAGATTGTTTCTCTCCTCAATGCTTTTGGAAGGTGAATGTCAGCGTTATGTAGGTCTAAACAAATGGATGTTTTTTTCTGTTGTATCATTTTAAACAAAAGCAAATCTTTCCTAAACAAAGGTGGCAGCAATTTTTCTCTGATGGGTCCAGAAGTTTAAAATTTGGGTAGAAAGAATGATGCATTTCTACTTGGCCAAAATTAAACCTCTGTTACTGCTCTTTGTATAACACACTCCTCCAGAGATAACTGTTCACATCCTTTCCCACAGGATTTCCACAAGCATCAGAGAGCTGAAGACTTTCAGATCACTACTAGCAGAGGAGCGGTGACAACATTGAGAGGAGTTCGGATTTGCCTAGTGATTCTCCTGATAGTCTAGTTTGTTTATCTTCATCTCGACGGTTGTGGCCGCAAGCCAACTACCACCTCAACTACCTTTGCTGAAATGTCCTTTATAGACTATCACGAAATACCTGACAAGACATCAGTGCTCGTATTTATTAAACTGCTAAAAGTAAAGTTTTGGACTGAAGTGATGGTTCAAAGTAAGAAATCCTTCAACTATTTATCAAACCTGTTTGGCTTTAAAAATGCTTTTAAAGGGTAAGGAAAGTTATTTTCTATATTAGCAGTATTGTCAACTCTCTTCATACATAGACCAAAACCGACAGTGATTTCTCTCTACTCACAGTTAATGTCTCAGTCCTGGATTACCTTAGTCATCTGTGCCATAGACCTCCATTGTTGTTTAAAAACACATCAGTGAAAATGCAACCCTGCGCTGGTTGACTGGTTTCCTCATTACAGAACACCACACCTTTTTTTTTTTTTTAAATGTTGCCTCAAAGGCTCTGAATGGCCATACCTTTTTACAGCATGTGAAGTAAGGGTCAAGTGCCCCATATACAAGATCTCTGGATATTCTTAAATATTAGGTTGTGTTTCGTAATGAGGAAATATGTCACTAAGTGTTTCACTGATGTTTTTAATTGTTTTGGAGCAACAATGGAGGTCTATGGCACAGATGAATAAGATAATCCAGGACTGATGGGTGTTAACCATGAGCAGAGGCAATTCATTGTTGGTTTTAGTCTCTGTATGGAGAGTTGAAAATACTGTTTAATATACCGACCTTATCCTTTTTAAATGTCGCTGAATTTGGCTAGGAGTAGATCCTCAATTACTACATTACACAAAGCCAAGCAGACCTGTGTTTGATAATCAAAAATATCAGACATGTATTTGATTTGCAACCACTTTCGAAACCTCTTCATAGTTGGAACTTGTCAGTGTGGTACTAAATTCTCTTAGTTATATGATGTCTCTGACTTATTCCATCTACCATCAGCAAAAAGTCCAAAATTGTTTCCATTTCATCTTTATTTAATGTAGTAGATGTCTTAATGCTCACACTCAAACAACATTTTTACTCTAAGTTGGTACTTCAGACACGTCAGCCATTCTTAAAGGTTTGATAAACGTGGACTCATCTTTCATTAGCTCAGTGGAAACTGTTTTCTTGAAAAGTCATTTTTCTTGGATTCAAATAAAATCTGATTATTTTGTCGTCACATTTTTAGCAGTATTTTAACCTCCTTCCAGCTGTTTAATACAAATGTGATGGTGTGTGTGAGAAATAATTCAGGTATAGGTTTTTATAAATATTGTTTAATATGAAAACATGCTTTCATGCATTAACTGACTGCAAGTAAGTGTGCTTTATTGAACCTAATCAGACATGTTACAGTCCAGTGGTCTGTTGCTCTTGTGATTATGTTGCTGTCCTGAGGATGGTGGTGTTTGTAAAGAAAATGGTTTTGGAATTTTCACCTAATGAACTTAGCTGTGCAGATAAATGCAAACTCCAACAGCTTTGACAAATCATGGAATTTTTTTTTCTTCTGTAAACAAGAGACTTGTTGAAAATGTATTTTTGTTAAATTAGCAGACTGACACTATCATACATTTTCATAATAGCATTGTTATGTGGGCACTAGTGGCTAACATTAAATAACTGATACTTTTATGAATACTTTAGTAAACATCACAAATAGCATAAAAATGTGGAGTTTTGACACAGGGCTAACGTGTACATGCCATTGGAGTGACAGTTATTTTGTGGTTTTAACTGGTTGGTTGCCATAAATGTCAAAACATGATGAATGGACTGTCAGCTGGGGTAGTCTATAACATGAGGGAATGTGAGGAATAAGTCAATTTGTATGTTCAGACATAATTGGCCATTAAAGATGGTTCTGATTCTGACAACAGAAAAGGTTGCTGAAGGGACAATGTGAGATACATAAATGTGTTTCAGGACAGAGGCAATAAAAATTAGTTGATTTTTTTTAAGCAAAGGATTAATATTTGTAAACAAAAACAACCAATAACTGTAGGCCTACTATATTTGGTAGCCTCAAATGTAGGCTTAGTAAAATATTATCAGAAAGGTAATAAATAAGCAAATGAATACGATGAATAATGTTAAAGTGTAAACAGTACATATGCACATTATATATTGAGTACACATTGCACACAAACACTGCGCTTGTAACATCGTTTAAAATTGAAGAAAATACACTTGCAAGTCAGACGGTAACGTAAATTTATAGGGTACATTTAAAAACATAAGTCGACACAAGTGCTTTACATTATTTTGTACACAGTTGGCATATTAAAAACAGAAAGGTTGCAGTGGCGGTATTTCCGGCGGTCATGTAAGGCAGCACAGCGGCGCAGCAGACAGTGAAGGGTTAAAGCTTCTAATAGGATTGAATGGATATTGTGGTGAGCGGCATCTGATTACAGACACGACAGTAGGCATTGAGGAGAAGGAAAGTTGCTGTCTGCTCACTGAAACTGAGTTTCAGCGCCCCTTCATTGTTAATACTGCATTTCACTCAAGGAAAAGTGTTTTCACCAAGAAGCGCAGGAAAACCGGCTGAAGCCACGGTCTTCTGGTGACGTTAGGGGAGAGGTCAGGGCTTGAGGTCGGCTCTTCTCATCGTATAAATGGCCGAGAGGGGTCGGCGGGGGCTTGCGGAGTAAACTTTCAAAATGTCGCAGTTCGTGGAGGCTTAAAACTGGACTACAACCGCTGTATTGTTATTTTTTAACGAAGTTACAGATCTGAAAACCAGTTTCACGGGAGGAGAGCGGCTGCAGCTCCAAGACAAGTTTGCTTTTGGTTTGTGCCTCCGGGTCGGAGCAAAACAGGTAAGCGACCGCACCTGTCTATGGTCTGCACATGTTGACACCAGCGGGCCGCTAAGCTGCTTTTATAGCCACTTCACATTTCTGAGTAACACTTTGTGATTAGCAGCCGACTCGTGTCTGTATCGCCAAATATCACCAAATATCACCAAAGACGCTGCTGAAACTCGGCATTTAGGGGGAATAGGAAACTAAATGACAACAGACAGCTCAGCGACCAAATCTCGCGTTTCACCACCTGAACCTGTGTTTTAAATATTCTTTACACTTTCCTTGTCAATCTAGTATAGATTTGATTCCTGTAGGTATAGTGTTTTTTATTTGACCCAGTGTATGGGGGGAAACTGTACTTTCACAGATTTAATAAACTCAAGGCATTTTTACAAATCTGAAAATTGTTTTAATCAGCCTTAACTTTCCCTGAACTTTCCCCTTAAATATCAAATTTGGAGATAACCTCTGAAAAACAAAGTGACACTGAGGCTGCTCGGTGTTTGTTTTGGCGTCAGTGCTGTAGCCTACTGGCTCCAGGGCTGTTCCTGGTTGAACTAAATGTTCATAATATAAATGTTAGGAAGTGCTGAGGACTCTGCTGCTACCATGTATTGCTGTCTGGAAATCTGCACACCTTTGTCAAAATGCTCTCAACGTGGACCTATCACATAAAGTAGGCTATACAAGACTACAGGAGTTGTTCTGCTTTACCAAACTGTTTTAGCTTACATTTTTAAAGCTGCATCAAACAGTTTCTGGCCATGAGGGGGCAGAAACACTTGAAACTAACAGAAGCATAGTCCTGAGATTAGGGCTGGGCGATATGGCGAAAAAATAAAAATCTAGGTTTTTTTCATAAAATGTGACCGATTCACGATTTCGATTTTTTTTTTTATGTGTAACTAGCCAACTTAAACACAAGTACAACAACATGACTGAAGTAACATTCTCTTCTTAAGTGACTTGAAAAACTATCAGTTTAAGAAACATGGTATTTTAGTGTGCATGCCATACATAAATTGGTCAACAAGGTGTAAATAAATGTAAAACAAATTGTCTAATGAAATGTTTTTGCAGCTGAATTAAATATGAAAGTAAATATTGAATTCTTCTTAATACAGAGTAAGAAAATAACCATTTTAAACCAAGTCACCAAAAAGTACACACATTGCTCGAGGATGTATTTGCCACTTTGTCATATAAAACAGATGGGAAGCGTCAGTGGTCGGTCAGTCAAAAATCCTGCTCTTCTAATGCATCATTATTTCTCATGTTGTTTGCAAAATTATGGTAAAACTGATTTTTGATGGTTAATTAAGAACATATTTGTTTGAAGCATGCCTAGTGTAGAGGTCCGTTGGCTGATAGAAATCCATGTGAGGGAGTTTGGAGTCCCTGCCAAGCAGCAGTATAACAGGAAGATCCATGGGGAGGCGGGGCAGGGGAGTGGAAAGCTCTCAGCGCTTCAGGCTTCAAATCTGCCAAGCAAGTGGAGTTTGGAAGCATGAAATATGTTGGAACGTTAACTCCTACCCTGTTTGTTAGCAGGCCTCTGGTTGGCCCACTTATCTGCATGTACTTGTCTAAATGAGTGGAGAAGTCATAAACTGAAGCCTGTAGGCCATCCTGGGACAGGAGGAATTTAATCTGTGTTGCCAAGAAAGTAACTTTTGTGCAGAGCAGGTGGCAGCCACCTCACTGAGCTTTCGGATTTCTTTTCATCAAATCTTCAGATACAACCCAGCTCACCGGACCATATGCCTTTTAAAAAGGTTCTCTGTGTTTTGTTCCCCCATAAGATAATCTGTTAGTCAGGTTCTGGGTTAATCTTTGGCACTGTTGCCTGTGACATGCAACAAATTGTACAAAGCTGGCCCAGGCTTGTGTCTCGCTTACAGGCTGTAGGTTTCTGTGCAGAGCTGGCATGGAGGCGGTCTTGGCGCAACATGGCCTCACTGATGTGGTTGAGGTTAGGAGTGAGCTGGGAGAACAACTGTGTGTGTGGGAACAAGGCTGAGTTGTCTCTTCAGCTCAGTCTCTGGCCTGCTGTACTCCACCTCTCTGTGATCTGCTCTGTTTTGTTTCCTGTCCTTGCCTCTGCCAGAGATCCGTCACGTGGTTTGTTGTCAGTTAGACACACAGCCTCGAGCAGAGTGGCAGTCAGATGTCACAGCAGTGAGGTCGCTGCGTGAGTGGGAGTGTGAAATTAGACAAGTCTAACTTCTTCCTACTCCGTTCAAGCATGTACTAGGTATAAGCAAATTGATAATGCATTTGTGGATATGTGTGTTGACATATTGACTGTCTTTACATGTTTGAAAGAATAAATCAAATCAAATGTCTAACTGAGCAGTTATAACCAGAGATACTGGCCATGTCAAACATCACTCAAAAATGTTCTCAATGTTACAGTTCAGAGACAATCACATGCTTTCATAGAGATTGAAAACATTTTTATTATTGATTCATCTGATGATTATTTTCTGGAATAAGTTTGTTCAATAAAACATTAGAAAATGGTGTAAAATGACTATACTGTCATAAAATACAAGGTGATATTAATAACGTTCTTGTTTTGTTCCACAAATGGTTCAGAATCCACAGTCTACTAACCTAGGACCAATAGAAGCAGCAAATTCTCGTGTTTTGAAAACCTGAAATATCGGTTCTTTGGTATTTTTGCATGAACAGTTATTTCAGTGACTAATGAATTAACAAAATAGTTGCAGATTTAATTAAACGACTAATTGGCACAACTCCGAGGGCCAAGGAGATGAAGGAATTATTGTTCTTTTCACTCAGAATGGTCTAATAAGCTCAGAGATCATATTATAGCACTGATGTATTAAAGATCAGGAAAAGATCCCGTCCCAGCTTTATTATGATAATCCAGCAACCTGTGTCTGAGATGAGAACTTCTTATAGTATTGATAGTTGAACTATTGTTTCAATTCGGCATTTAAGTGGTCGAGACCAAGCTTCCCTCCTTATTCCAAGCTGTAAATTATGATTGGATACTGCAGCTATCAGCCAAAGTTCTACGCTCATTGTTTTCTCCCCTGGGGAAAAAATAACGAGTTAGCATTATTACATTTTCAAGCTAGACTTGAGTCACACTTGATCGAGTCACTCTCTGTTTTGTAGTGGTATAATGAATCGTTATCAATCATTTTAATGCTTTGTTCATTTGTACGTGATAACAGACTTGAATGGATGTTCCGCTTTTGGTTTGCTTGGGGCAGACCTGTCTTTGTACACTACCTCGCTTCATTGTCCCACTCTCCGCTCTCTAATACCCTCATGTCATGTATTATTTGGCTTTGTGTTCATTGCTAACCAGCTGCATTCTTTGTTTGTCTGGTGACTAAAGAAGGCGTGGTTGTCTGGCTTCATTCGTCCTTCAGAAGTGAAACTGGTGCCAGCTTAGAACAGTTACCAGGCGTCGTAGTGGGAGGCACTCACAAAAGCAGTATCCGTATATTATTAGCTGATGACAAAACTGGCAAATCACCAAAGCTGGACAGAAATGTGTCCCCAGTGGTTGTGATGTTCAGTTGCCACTTGAGTTTTAGGTAAAGTGGATCTTTTAATCCAACAAACAGAACCCGAAAACAGCCTTCAGTCATTAATGGGGCTAATGCACAGAGACGGAAGAAAACTGTCTGTGGGGATTGTATTTCATCTTATTTTTCATTTTTATTTGGGCATATTTAAATGTTTAATATCTGAAACAAAACTGTTTTCAGGTTAGACTAGAAAAAGATTGATGTATACAATTTGACTAATCTGCAGATTTTTTTTAAATTTTGTCAGCAAAAAAAAATTGAAAACTGTGAAAATGCCTGTTAAAAGTTCCTATAGACTAAGGAGAACAAACTGTTTACATAAAAATGTTTACTGTGATAAGTGACCTATCTCAAACATGTTTTGAGACTTTACAAGTTAGGAAATACATTCACAGATTAAAAAAAAAAAAAAGAAGCAATTATTTAAACATGATCCGAAGTAATGCAAAGTGGTTTGTAGTAAACTGACTAATGTAAAAATCACTGAGATGAGGACTTTTAAAAACATGACAGTCTTTCCTCAGCTCATTTCAGAGTTTTGAGCTAACCCCCTCTCATGTGGGCCACTGGTCTCTGGCTGTTTCATCAGCCTTGTGCTACAGGCTCCATGTGGCATTTCACTGCGACTCCCAGAATGTGCCACCTACCAGCCAGCTCCGAGCCATGCACCAGGCAGCTCGTCCAGCCCAGTCTGAACACTGTCTGCCAACAGGGGACTCTAACTGTGTGCGTGCTTTGGTATCTAACTAACAAAGCTCTCTCTTTTCCTTTTGCTGTCGTACCTGCTCCCAAGGGATCTTCCTCTCTCCGTATGCACCTTTTTGTCTCTCAGGGCTGCAGAGTCAGGGGCTGTTTGGACATCCCATTTCTGTTTTGTCTCTGCTAAGGTAAGTTCTGCTCTCCCTCTGGACACTGCTCTTGAATAACATGTGGTTCATGTGTTGTTTCTGTTGTATATTTACTGTTGATAATCCTGCTTATTGCACTGGTGTCTAATAACAGCACTAACATCTAACAGGCTGCATTTGGGCTTTGCCTGCTGGGTTTTGCACCCAACATTTTGGTTTACAGTGACATCCACACACACCTGCCACGTCATCCTGTCGCGTTAGTTAATGGAATATTTTTGTAGCCTCAAAAAGTCAGATGATATCCCTCAATCAGGGCTGCAACTAATGATTATTTTCACAATTGATTAATCCAATGGTTTTTTCAGCTGTAAATTATTATAAAATGCTGACAAATAGCATTTGCAGTTTCTCAGGGCCCATGGTGGTGATAGTTTGCTTGGTTTGACCACTTCATGTTCTCAGTGGAGGAGAGTCACATCACCCTTAAATGATCTGTCACATGCAGTGTCTCACTTTGATTCTGCGAGGGCTGCTACTAATGGGAGTTGTGTCAGTAGCATTTGGTTGAATTTTTGCAGAACATGTGCAGTTCCTATTTCACTCAGTATCAAACCTAACCCACAGAGATTCTGCTGTGCTGATGGTTTGAAGAAGTTATCGAAGTTTGAGAGAGATTGTGAACGAAAAATTTGCTAACCTTTTGATTTTAGCAAATGAACAAATATAAAGATTACCAACTTGGACGGACCTTAAAACGTGCTAGGGTGTGTTGACATGATGCTGATGGGTGTGGTGGTGAGGACTTTTTCCACTTTGTAGTGTTGTAGCCTTTTCCTTCAGCGTGTGTGCGCGCTAACCCAGCAGCTGTCACAACACCCGAGGAGCAGCGAGAATGAAAGCCTGTTGGCATTTCTGTGAAGCTTCAGCTGCAGCTGAGCCACACATTGTGTTAAGTTGTAACATAGAAACAAGGCAATTAAAACAGCTTGTGCTCAAGAAGTGGTTCATTCCAAAACACTACTGTACATAGATAACATTTTCTAGATGGATTTGACCTCAGCTGCCATTTTAAGCAGCTGATAAAACAAAGCGTGATGGTTGCTTTCAAAGTAACCCATAATGTGGTGTATTTTAGCCAACTACATGGTTGTCATGTTCTTTCTTTAAACAGCGAGTCTGTCATTTCAGAAAGGCATGCAGCAGCACTCTGGTATACAGCTGGTTCTTGGGCTTTGATGTACAGCAGCTGGAGCAAAAACGTATCTCCAAGTGCTCCTGTTTATAGATATTTGAAGCCTCCAAGTCCTGATGTACTGTATGCATGCCTACATACAAACTGCAGCTGTACTGGAATGACTGGGGGGCTTATAGGCTGCTACATGTGTAGGTCTCCACAGTGGAAGCATAAAGACCTGGGCCTGGCTACAGGGAAACCGTTGGTGTACATTAGTCGGATTAATGGCCGTGACTTTTTCAGTAAGCTTATGAGGTCTGAACTGCCCCTCTGCCCCTCTGCCCCTCTACCCCTCAATCTCCCTCACAGCTAAAGCTAAACCACAGATTTATAGCTATAACCTGCTCTACCCTCTGACCGTTTCTAACTATAAAGAGAGATTAGTTTCTCTACTGTTTGGCTGATAAAACATTAGAAGATAATGACAGATGAACATAAACATTTGCCAAAGTGCAAGATGACCTACAGTTTAGCAGAGAGTTCACTGACAAGTGAACATTTTTCATGTTGTTGCCTCTTTTGTGAGTCAGCTTGTCACTATTTTCATGGCCAGTTTTCTGTCTAAATGGGGACACTGCTGTCAGGGAACAGAACTAATTCATTATTCAGAGGTCTGGAAATCAACATGTATTGTAGTATTGTGGTGGACTTGTCTTTTGCTAGAGAGCCTGGTGTTTAAGTGTCTGTATTGAGACAGCCACACTTACTGTAAGTACACAGTTTCACAGAGAAGTGAAGTTCTGTTCTTATTGTTATTCGATATGCAATTTATTTATTCGGCAGGTCCTTTTGGTTGATCTAGACAAACCAGCTCCACTTCCCCTTTAAGCTGTGATTTGCTGCTGTGTTGTGCAAACTGCATGAGGAGCTTCATGTGGGTTGCTGTGCTACCAAACTGCTCTGCTACTGTATATGTTGCTGGTGTATGAACATCTCTGCTTCACATTTCTTTTCTCTTCACAGAGCTGTTGAGCAATGCTCATCGCAAACCGAGTCTGTGATTTCCTGCACTTCATCTTCTCATCGCTCATCTGTCAAATGCTTCACTCTCTCATTCTCTTTCATGATCTCATCCTTTCTGTCACATTCCCCTCTTTCAACATTCCTCCTGTTTGCAGTCGCTCAGGTCTGACACCCTGTTGGTCTGTTTTAGATCAAGGAGCAATCGGTAGCTTCTGGATGAAAACAGAGCTGTGATAGAAAACTTTAATGGAACATGAAGACAGGCCTAATAAAACAGCTTGTGCACCTCATTGGCCATTTCAAGTGATTGAGTTGTTTCTATTTATAATCCAAACAGAACAGTATAGACTACATATTCTGTGCAGAACCAACATGAGGATTTTGTTTTTCCAAAATGATGGCATGAATTATTTTTATTTCTCATATACAAACTACAGTAAAGACCAGAATCAAGTGTGTGACTGTCCTAGGCACACTTGCACACAGTTTTTAAAAGTACTTGTCAGGTAGGTTGTTAGCATGTCTTAGTGAGGTTGCCACAGTTCTTCACTGGATTTTAGTTTGGCTAGGTGTCTTCTGTCTCTTCATGTAATCCCAGAGTGTCTCCATGATGTTGAGATCAGGGTTCTGTGGGGGCCACGCCATCTGTTACAGGACTCCTTGTCTTTCTTCTTATCTCTGAAGATGGTTCTTTATAACTTTGGCTGGATGTTTGGGCTGTTGGCGTGCTGCAGAATAAATGTTGGACAGACCAGACGCCTCCCCGATGATGATGTGTGATGGTTAAGAATCTAAAGTGTTTTAAGTGCCTAACACTTTTGCTAGTGCTGTATATCTCAAGGATTGAGCCAAATTCTAACCTGTTTAGTTGAAAATGTAAAGTTCTGTAAGTTTTGTCTTTTCTTAATAGTTGAGCATATAGTGAAAAACAAAATGAGTATGTTGTATTGAGCTAAATTTTTGGCCTCTGCTGTGTGTTACAGAAATGGGACTCCTGTGGGAGCAGAGGTGTTTGCTTAAATCTGAAACTCAATCCTGCTGATAAAACTCAACCAGGCAAAGTCCACATTTGGATTGATTCAAAGTTAAAAGAACATAGAGGCAATCCTTTCTTTATTACCAATAAGGCTAATGTGTGTTTTTAGAAATGGCACTGCTGGTATGCTGTCATGTTTTAGATCACCTCTGTCTGTGTCCCAGACACACTCTCCTAACCCTTGCACTCCCTTAAAAGCCCTCTCTGCCCTCTGACCATACTGTCTGCCTATCAGGCACAGACCAAGGGGAAAAGATATCATTTGATAGTGACTGTTGGCAAGTCGATAAAAACTACAAAGATCTGTAACCTCCAACAGTGAAAAGGACTGTAAAGAGACAAAAGACACAAAACAATCACAGTGAGACAGAAAACATTCAATAAAAGACCCGAAAACTACAGAGAGAAGCAAAATGACATCAGGGATGCAGAGGGATCACATAGACGCAGAAAGAACCACCAGGAGATGCACCAAGTGATGTGAAATGGCTACATACAAAGGCATCAATTGTCTTTATTTTGCATCTCAATTTGAGAGCTTTACTCCTGTGTAGGAGCACTCGGGAGACATGTCTTTGCCCAAGGCCTCATCTCATAATTGGTCCATTTGTCAGCAGGATGTGTGTATGGTTAAACTGAGGGGATTTAACTTGGTGAATGTAAACACACAAACACAAAACATGATGCTGCTCCTCAAGTCAGTGGTCTGTAAGCCCTCTGAGGGCCCATGGAAGAATCAAAAGGATTTAATATCTGAATATGGAAGTTAGATTTTTAATTTAGTCTTTTTTTGACTGCCGTTTCAGAAGCAGCACACTGTTCAGCACCCTTCTCTCTCTCTCTCTCTCTCTCTCTCTTTTCCGTTCTTGATACAAATATTTGTCACTTTTCATGTAAACAGCTGAAGGTGATGTTGTGAATGTCGGCCAAAAGAGAGTGTGTACTGTTATCCCCTTGACTGAACTCTCTCATCTCCCTTGTCTCTGTGACAGATGGCGTTTCACTTTGTTTCCAGTTTGCCTGTTTGGAACTACTGTAAACGGATTTGATTTCCGACGCTGTCAAACAGCACGTCTTACAAACCAGATCTGATCAATCTGAAATCAACCCCTGGTGTAGCCAGCTCTTTTCTGCAGTGGTTTGCTGTTTTTGTGAAGCTCTGTGAACACATTTCAACTCGGTACACCTATGTTCATATTTTACATTTTAACATCTTTAAAAAAAATAAAAAAATTAAGAATAAAGGAACGAACTTCCAGAGCATTTATTTGATTTTTTTTTTTTTCCCCAACACCTGTTGCAGTGAAATTTGGCACATGCATGTTCAAGACACTTGATTTGTCCTGCAAAGGAAAATTTAAAGCACTGAGTTTGCAGGCAGATAAAACCAGTTCAATAATATAAGGATTAAAGAGTAAAAATACATGACAATGGCCAGTCCATAGCTGACAAAGTCCAAAGCCACACAGGCACAGATTATGTTTTTAAAAAGTGTGTAAACAAGATAATGCACGAGGCATATGGACCATGTCTTGGACTATGTTCAACACCAAACATGGGATAACACCAAACATCTTTAGGTTTGTTTTGCATGTTGGCAATCGAAAACACTTTCCCGATAGCATTGGCTCAAAGTTCTCACAGAGGTCGAGTGTGGGATCACTGATGCGTTTTTAAGGATTTATTCAGTATTAATCTGTGCTAGGGGATCATTGTGTTCTGATAGTGATTTTAGATTTTTAGATCAACAGTACCATTGATTCTTGTCCTTTTGACAATTGTAGTAACTTTGGTGATTCTCTGACATCTCCTTTGTGGTCATCATTAGTTAAAAATTGCAGTTTATCTATTATTTTGACTTATGAATAAATCTGAGTATTGTTTTGTGTGTGTGTGTGTGTGTGTGTGTGTGTGTGTGTGTGTGTGTAAAGTTTCTTTAAAAGAACTTGAGACTGAATCAGTTCTTTTTTCTTTTTTTTTTTTAGATATTTTAACTATTATCTTAATCTTAAAACAAAAAAGCATTAAGAGTATGTGGCTCAGCAGCGAGCGTGGTTTGTTGAGAATTTCTTGATGATACAAGTGTAAGCAGCTAAACCTACTTGTTTTTAATGAGCCACACAGATGCACACTGCTGTCCTCCAGGATACAGCATACACATTCATGGCAAATTCATTTTTCTCATACTCGTGTTCCAGCACGCTAGTGGTAGATTCCTCCACATACATATCGCTTACTCATGACACACACATGCAGCGTTGTGCTTCTACCTGTCTTGTGCAGTCAGAGCTCATTAGTTGCCATGTCTGAAAAGCGTGATGTTGGGCATCAGCTTCTGACTAGTCTTGAACTTCACTCGTGTCAACATAAACACACCAACAAATACATTTTAAACCTGGGTTTTTACATTCTGGGCTCACTCTAGTGTTCGCAAATAGCACAAGTCCATGCTGCTCTTGGTGTTGGCTGGTGTGTCATTAGTCTCACACTGTAGATTTTACTTAGACTCGCTCCCATATTGTTCCCTGCAGAGCTTGCCAAGGCTACTGTTGTGTACTGCATTTAACACCAGCCTGCACCCAGGGAATAGCTGAGCTGCTGCTTTTGGAGTCCATTAGTTATTTACCATGAGGGAAAACCTTGTGAAACACAGGGAAGAGCGAAAGTAAAAAGTATATGTAATGGTGTAATCTCTCTCCTTCTCTCTCTCTCCAGTCTTTTTTGTAGCCGCCATCATTCGGTGCTGTAAGGCCAGTCCCATAATGTCTTCCAATGGAGACATCAGTGACCTGGGGAGCTCAGACAGCTTCTGGGAGGTACACCAGAAAAACACACACATTTCTGACATTCATCGCCTGTCTGTTGACCCTCTCTCAAAAACATATCTTGACAAAAAAAGTATCACAACCTAGTCTCATAAGTAGTGGTTGCTGTTAATGGCGGCTTGGAGTTGAGAGGCTGAGCTTTGTGGAACTAATAAATTCAGTGTTTATCAGTTTGGAGATTACAGTTTCACTTCTCTGCACGTTTATGCTTGTTTAGCAGGTGTTTTGTTAAAGTACTCCCACTGGCTTTTTTTACTCGTAAAGGTAATTAACACTAACATTGAGCAAATGACTCCCTGTCTCCACTGCTGCCACAGCAGCCTACAGTTTGCTAGCTAGCTATGCCTTGACCTCACAAATGCTTCTTTCCTACATGTTCTCCCTTAATACATCCATGATGAGAGTAGGAGGCATATTTCCACAACTGGGTGCAGTTTCAGTGTCTTCACCTGACACGCCCCCAGCGTTTTAGAGCAGAGAATACTTTTTTTTTATCATTTTGAAAGCTACGTTTATATACTTGGCAATCTTTTTAATCATTCAAATTTATCTGGGCGGTTAATAACACATCCTCCTAGAATCAGCTTGAGTCACTTAGCAAACAGACCTGCAGGTCTGCTTCCCATCCAAGGGCAAGGACATGTAAATGTACTAGAATTATTTGACCTGTTCAGATACATTATGTCAATAAAGCCCTAAAATATATGTGCAAATGGTTTTGAAACTCTGGATCCTCATCTTGTATCCTTGATGAGGTTATCAGAGCAGTTCAGTGAAGCATTCTGCAGTCAGATAAGACAGTGTGACTGTCTGTGGTGTTTAGACAAAGACACAGACACATAATGACTCCCTGCTGACTGATTACTGGCTTCACAGCCCTCCATCTAGAAATAACCTACATACCTTCAACTCCTGCCACCCTCTTGTCTCTGTCTGTTCTCTTTCACTCAGTTTGTTTCATCTGTTTCAATCTTATCTACATCATCACAAATCCACTAACTGTGTGAGCATAATGACATTTTACCACAGTAATATCAACACATTTGTTTGGTAATGTGCATTGAAGTGACAAAGGAACTGATAAAATGGTAGAAAATGATTTTAATGCCTTACACCAGTTCACTCATGGTGTGCCTGTGGATGTATTTCTGCAGCCGGGGAACTACAAAAGGACAGTGAAGCGGATTGATGATGGCCACCGGCTGTGTAATGAGCTGGTCAGCTGCTTCCAGGAGAGGGCCAAGATAGAAAAGAGCTATGCTCTGCAGCTGAGTGACTGGGCCAAGAGGTGGAGGGGCGTTGTGGAGAGAGGTGAGTATACAAACACAAACCATATGACACTAAGAACCATGTTTAATAGATGGCTTTATGTGTATTTTAGGGATGTTTTATTTCTGCGCTTCCCAGAACTGTAAACTGGTCTTTTAATGTAACTGCAAAGCTTAAGGTTTTGCCGCAACTAATTTATAAATGAATCCCCAGTTTTAGCATTTAAAAAATGTAGAGTGCCATATAAAATCTTAGAGACTAGTAGAGACTTGAAGCTTTGTTGGATTGATTTGTCTTGTATTTAGTTCTACAGAAATGTACAGGTATAATACAGTAGCTTTACATAATTCAGTTTTGACCTTGGCCTGAAAACTGTTGCGCAGGCCAACAGAGACAGTTGCAGTAGTCTCAGTTGTTTTTGTTTTAAGCTAATTGGCATGGTAAGAATGCTCCCTTCCCCCACTTCCTCAGGGCCTCAATATGGCACGCTGGAGAAGGCGTGGCATGCCTTCATGCAGGCAGCTGATCGACTCAGTGAGCTGCATCTTGAGCTGCGGGAGCGGCTGGCAGGCAAAGACAGCGAGAAGGTGCGCAACTGGCAGAAGGATGCCTTCCACAAGCAGATGATGGGAGGCTTCAGGGAGACCAAGAATGCGGAAGACGGTTTCCGCAAAGCCCAGAAAACCTGGGTCCGCAAACTGAAAGAGGTGAGGGCCACCTGAGTGCATTGATGTTTAGTCTGGAGTGTGCTCTCCACCTGTCAGTTTGCACATCACTGGATACTGTGCACACAAAGGTGACTTAATATTAGCCAAATAATCAAATGATTGGCAGGAAATTGGCCACTGTTTTGGTAACCAGTTCATCTTTAGAGTCATCTATAAAGCCAAAATGCAAAAGACATTTGCTTGTTCCTGCTCCTCCAATATAAATGTTTACTTTTTTTTCTCTGTTGTCTGTGTCTATGTAAAAGCCATATAATCTGAATATTTTGGGGGTTTTGGACTGTTCCTCAGACAAAGACCTTTGAAGAAATCACCTAAGGATCTAGGAAACAGCATTTTTTGCCATTTCCTGCCAGTTTATAGACAAACATGTAATTGGCTAATAGCTTCTTCTTTTTTTTTGGCACTCCCAGTATGACACAGTTTTGTAATTCATCAGGGGGATGCTACTGTACTTTGCAATGGAAACATTAGCCAATACTGTCTCGAGTGGCTGTGAGTGTTTGTAATATGATACTATTACATCAAATGCATCAAAGTGGAAACGACTACATTTTACAGAAGGTGGTTTGTAAAACAGGAGCTGTATTGATTACAAATCAAAGTGTATAACTGTGCTTATGTCAAGGTGGAGTCCAGTAAGAAGAGCTACCATCAAACCAGGAAGGAGGAGTGGACGGCTATTACCAGGGAAACACACGCCAAAGCTGACCCATCCAAGTCTCAGGAGGAAGTCCGCAAATACACGAGCCGGGTGGAGCGCTGCAACCAGGAGGCTGAGAAAGTACAACGCTTAACACACACATACATGAATGTATACACAAATTGGGTGTGTCATGAGTCTAGGAAACCACACCTGTGTGTGTGTGTGTGTGTGTGTGTGTGTGTGTGTGTGTGTGTGTTTGACTTAAAACCTGACTGGGCTTGTCTCCTGTGCTCTCTGCTCTGCACAAACCCAACAGCAGTGAAAAAGCTCCAGGACCTGAGGAGAGAAATGATCCGTCAAAATCTTGAGACAAAGTTTGGATCAGTCAATACACACAGCTGTGTCGGGCAACTAAGGGCTCTAAACAAGGAAATAAGTCGAATATCATTGCTCATTTGAACGTTTTTGGCAGAAATACTGTGCCTCAAAAAGTGCTTAGACATCACTCATTTGTCAGGGCACATGCCTAGTTTGTAGATATCAAGTTAACTCAAGTGTGTGTCAGTGGTTAAACAGTCAGGTCCCTGATGTAGAAGAGAGAGACACGTACTACAGACTATAATGGAGAGAGAGCGTGCACACTAAAACCAACAGCACCAGTTAACTAGCTCAGTTAAGAAGCTGCTATTATGGAAAAGAGCATTCATTCATTCATCTTCCACCGC